GAATTTTATATGGTTTTTTTCATCTCACAGCATAAGCTTTAAAGTCTTGCTGTAAAATGCTCATTAGCCATCAAATGTCTTTATGGAGTAGCACTTGCTTTACAATAGAGGATAAAAGGAAGTTTGCTCTACAGTCTGCGAGACATTGAGGCTACTTTAGGATAAAAGCTCTGACACATCAGTTTTCTACAGCAGAAAATGAATAGAGATAGATTGTATTTTAGTGGCATTTGAAACTATCTGCCTCTTCATCTACCAGCAGCTCTTCTCAGACAGCCTGCACTGTTGTACTTTATTCTCCCATACATTGCTACAAGATGACACCTTGGATTTTTCAGTTTTTCCTGTTAATTAAAAAACTTACTCCTCCCAAAAGGCTGGAAAACCCAACGTTTCAGTTTTAAATTTGACTCATGTTGGCATAGCTTTCAGGTGCAGAGGTTTTCCTTGTACTTTGCTTTGAATCCAGCTTGCTGTGGTAGTTTGGACTAAGGAAAGTTCCAGGCAGCAGAAACAGAATTGTCTAGATCCCATTACAAAATTGCTCCTAAACAAATCCATAAAAGGCTACAATACAGCAATTCAGGGCTTATCACTACCTGATCTGCTTCACAATTTACATACATATGTGTATATGTGTATATATACACATTCCTTGGCACAACACAATTGGATAAGAAAAGCAGCATTCCTTTGACCTGCACATCCTGTCATTATCTCAGCCCCCTTTTACTTCTTCCTGTAGCAAGGAGAGACCAGCCAAATCCCAATTTCATCCCAGAAACTTGAAATACTGTGCTTATACCCAGCTTGAATACACAAATTTAAGCCCATAGTTTTAAGTTGGTTGGTGCTGGCTCCTCAGGTTTGGCAAAACACTCTTCACTGAGCTCCGTGTCAGTTTTTCTAAATGAAGATGGAATTAAGTAGACACTTGTCTGAGAAATGTCAGCCTCAGAGAAACCCTGGTAAGTAGAGGTCTTAAGTGTTTATCAGTACATTATGGTATGTAAAGTGGAAAGTTGTTTATAAGGTTTCCATGCATACACTTATTCCCACAGTTACACACTAATAAATTTTTCATCAACTTGACAAAGGGAGATGAGAGAAACATCAAATGGCTCATGGAGCTGAAGAGCACACCATTGTCATCTACCTGGTTACTTTCATCACATTTTAATATTTTACAGCTTTCCTACAGATCCCAATGAACTTTATCAAGCCAGGACTCAGATCTACAGATATAACTTCATTTTGATTCACCCGAGATAGAAAAATGGATTTCTACCATTCAGCTGTAGAGAAGTTAGTGCCTTTCTTTTGTTTAGTCCAGCTTACGGAAATAATTGCATCTCCTTCAGAAAGAGGACAAAGAGTATTCAGCAAAAGGCACTTCGAAATTGTATTGCCTGTTTTTGAGTAACTGTTCTGAGAGCCTGATGCAGAAGCAAGCAAATTCTATAGCTTCTCAGTTTCAACAGTCTTTGGATCAGGTTCTAAAGGGTTATTCTTTACGCTCCTTCTAATGCTGTGTCATACTCAGAATGCAGAGCCAAAATGAACAAACTTTATGCATTTGGCTTTGAATATAGAACGGGATCTTAATTAGCATTCACATTCAGCTTAATTCCAGTCAAAGAAAGTTTTTATCACTAATAGAGGAGCAAAAGATACACCAACTATATGACTTCTCTAAATCTCACCCATACATCTCTCTGATGGAAGAACTGGCACATACACTACCATTAGTACATGTAATTAGTGGCAGCATGCACAAAGAGGTATATCCTAACTGGATGCTGGAAAAATACGTGAACCAGTTATTTGTATGTGGAAGTACATGAAAAAAACCTTACAGAGTGGCATGATTATATCTGGGTGCCTCTGCTATAAAAAGCATTTGTATTACCCTTACTTCTCTGAATAAATTCAAATGACAGCCCCATTTCATTTCTTCATTCAGTCTGGAGGCCAGATGGCATTAGAATCATTTACTTCACCTTGTTGTGCTTAATTACTACAATCAACACACTATTTTCCAAATTAATCATAACAAAGTAATTTCATTAGTAACACAGCAGGCTGTTGAATTATTAGCATCATAACAGTTTGCAAACAATTAAACTTTATTTGAACCTTAAAAATTTGCAGAGTTGAACATTATTGTAAGATCTAATGGCAGTATAGTACAAATCCAGAACAGAGCAAATCACCAAGTAAAACGCTGTACAAAATATGACATGCAATCACCTTTTAAAAAAATTTGCTTACTGTTCATGGAAAGGCAAGTGCAATCTTAATAAACAAAGAAAATAAAGTAATTAGCATTCTGTACCACTGGGTTTTGTTTCAGTTGTATTCACAGAGGTTTTCTTACCCAAAAAAGGTTATGGTATTTGCACAGATTTCAAGTAAACAATTCATCCATGGTCCACTGCTGGTTTATACCCAGACACTGCAAGTGAGTTTCAGGACATCTTTCACCTTTTGGATTTTAAGGCAGTTTGTTTACAGTCACATATAGATATGTACTAAGGAAGTGGGGGGAGCCCTAAAGGACAACTACAGACAAAAGACACTTTATTTCTCCGGCTGCCAACACCCAGGGGGGCAGGCGCTCGGCCGACCCCGTACCCATCGCTTGGGTAAGGACTCCCTCTGCTGGAGAAACGGCAGAAGTGGCGGAAGGGGGAAGGGGCGGGCTCCTTGTCATCATAATCATCATCATCATCCTCCTCCTGTGCTACGAAAATTTGCTGCCACCTACCGCCGCGGGCGCGCAGGGCCGCGCAGGGCCCCCCCTTCTTTTCCTCCGGGCACCAGCAGTGCCGGGAACCCCCCGACGACCTCCAGCTTCCCACCCGGCACCGGCATCCCCACATTGCTCCTGTCCCAAACCGAGTTTCCCCCCTATACACTTCGTCTCAAGGACAGGAGAGGGTTTACTCCAAAAAAGTAGGCGGTGGTGGAACTGGGAATTACGTAATTAATACAAAGACATTTCGGCGGGCAGATTTATTACACTGCCATGTTAACAAGAGAAAAGGAGGTTTTCTAGCTGTGATATTAACGCTTCACATTCTGTACACAATCCACAAGTACACTTGATAAATTAAAGTAGTAAAAGATCTGAAGACCATAATCTATCATTTTAATGCTTCACTGATAACGTACAGAATCAATTTCAATGACTATCTCTTTTTTAAAAAATTACAGCACGACTCTGTACCTTGTCTGACTCCTATTAGAATCCAGCGTACGATCAAGTATCACACATTAGCTAACACAAAGCACAACATCTCAGTTTACCGAAAGGATCTAATTCCGAGTTCAGACTAACGTTACCTTTTAACCCACAGTGTTTCCAGGGCCCGCCTGAAGCGTAAACAGCACAAGCAACTACAGGGGGACCTGCACAGGCTCAGCGATTCACAGACTGGCTTGACCTGCCCCGTTGGCAGATTAAGGGTCTCACAAATCAAGTGTGTGGGAGGACTCAAAAAAGTTGATCTTGCATGCTAAAAGCAAAGCCCATCTCCAAAACAAGAGTATTTAAAGTATTAACTCTGATTTGCCCGATCCCTTCTCCACAAGCGACAGTATTTTAGCATGCTTTTTTATGTTAAAACTGATGCTTTTAGCCACAAAGTGCTGGATTTGACACTGAGACTGCAGGTCGTTATTAATAATCCACATAGAGCTGAAGATGTCTGCTGCACACAACTTGTATTAGAAATTCCACCTATCAATGAGGTACCCGGATTTTATCGTGAAAGTATCTGTAAGGTTCGGAGAAAATATTCCACATTACCACAGACAAAAATCACTCTTACCTGCCATTTAGCTCATGTTGACTTAGAAAAATTGTGGGGTTTAATATATTCTCTTTTTTATGAACTTTCACATCACTCCTATCTCCAAGTCAGAATGGTATCAGGGTAGTATTACCACACAGGCTGATTTATTACATCAGCAAAAGAACCAAGGCTTCATTTTGTGGTAACAAAATAATTATTAACAATATAATACTGAATATATGAGAAAAATAAATCATTGGCAAAAGCAAAATACAAGAACATTTGGAAACAGAATACCCTGAAGACTTGCATTATTACACATAAATTTTGCTTGATTCTCCTAGGAAACTGCACAAAATGCACAGTGAGTATTAAAAGGTTAATGCATGCATAAACTGAGTAATAGTTTTCTACTTTCAAAGTTCAGCTTAATTTTTCTAAATCTGAGAAAATTTCCTGAAAGAACACAAACCCATAGCTATACAGAGTGCTGCTAGTATGCTTAAGGAAAAAGCAACAGGCACTATTTGGCTGTTTGTGCCCCATATGTTAATTACCCTCTACTTCATTTCCTAGCATTACAATTCTATCAAAAGTGATGAAGAACATTTTCTCAGAATTATGGTCAATTACAGTTTTTAATGTTTAATATACACAAGGCAACGATCTGACTACATTCACTGAAACCACGGAACGGGTACGGCAGAATCTTCTTCTTTCAGAGGCCGGGTCTGTATACTGCAGCTGCACACCACTCCCAAGTCCAGATTTCTCCTGATTAGGAAGAAGGAAGTTGAAAGTTCATCATTAAACAAAAAGCCTCAAATGTGCATGTCAAACCCAGTCCAAATATCTATCCCCTTCCACAGTTTTCTGCACAGACAGATACATACATATATATATATATATATATACACACACTAAAGTAATAAGACTAGAAAGCACACAAATTCTATTGGAAAAAAAAATCTGGAAAAGGAACATAGTTACAAAATTCATCATCTTTTGTACACTGTGGTTTCATGTTTCATACAGAATCCAAGAAAAAGTGCTTTAATTGAACTTTCAATATATTTTGCCATAATCTTTGTGTTAACAGGACTCCTACAAAGGTTCCAGGAAAGAAATACTTATGAAACAGAGAACAAGGGAACATATAAGCCATTACAGAAGATTGGATTAAAATGTACTTACCCAGGCCTCTCAAATATCATACATCTCCATTATGTAGGCTTTAGGCACCAAGCCAATGGTTCCCTTCATTTCTCCTACCCACCAGCCAAATCTATTGTACTCCTAATTGAAAACAATATGCAATATTAACCTTTAGTCTGATATAAATGCAATAGAGTTTTGTATGCAACTCCTTATGGATGCTTTCTCTTATATACAGTTATAATCATTTCAACTGAAAATTAAAACATTGTATCTTTTTGTTAGAGGCATTCACGTGCACAGTTAGGCACAGGCAGAAGTTAAATTTTAAGAAGGCCAGGCATACTCAGGAAAATGTCTTAATTACAGCCACGCTTCTCTATAACACCTACTAAAAATAGCCGACCTCTATCCTCTATTCATCATAAACAGAGAAACCTTATCTTTGAAACTAAAATCTAATAGTGCAATGTTGACATATAAGAATCAACTGGGATTCTTTCAGTACCGCAAGGCTAAACTCTAAGAAACTTAAAATCAACTTATTTCAAAAACCACTTCGCTCAAATGTGAAGGGAACACCATATATCTAATACATAATCTCTTTCTATGGACGAAGTTTACCATTGCTTTAGGCTTGCAGAAAATTCTACAGCAGATCTCATATGTCTGACAGATGACTAATGTACTTTTGTTTGAAATTTGTTTAGGCTTAGTGAGATAAATATGAAACAAAATGAATTATAATAGTTTAAAGAAATAATATCTTCCAAAAGCAATACCGAGTATTGTGGGATCCAAATTTAATTTTTTTTCTCTGAGGTAAATATTTTAAGATCAATCCTAACAGCAGTTCAATAAATTGTAACAGCTGAAATTGCACACATACATATATTGAGTTACAAATGAAGCAATATTAAAACAGAGACCCCATTCAAAACTGAATGATTAGTAAGACAGAAATTACTTTGGAACAAACATGGAAAATACAAAATACACAGATATCTCTAGTAAGCAACATCTGCTTCCAAAAAGATGAGAAAAGCAAAAGGCTGTAGGATTTTGAATTAATGGTCCTACTGAGATGAAGCTATTATTTTGACTGCAGATAAAGTTTTTTGGTTATAAATAGTCAAGTGGAGCTTAAGGGTTAATGGAGTTTCATTAGAGCCTGAGCTATAATGATTTGCTGCTGGCATATTTGGCCTGGTCGAGAGTTCTCTAGGGTCCTATGAGGTGCTTAGTGTACTCAGCTCTCCCTGTGCTTAACTACAATGAAGCCCTGCTGATGGCCCACTTTCATGTGGGCTCAGGGGTTTTTGTGTTTTGTTGGAGGGGATTTTTTGTCTTTTGCTTTTTTTATTTGTTTTAAACATGTTTGCATGAAGGCACACACACACTTTTATACTTTCTTATTGTGGAAGGCTGAACACCAGTCTTAAACATTTTCTTTCCTCTCTTCATGGTGAATTGGCGATTTAAAAGATTCTACTATCCATAAAATACTCGGTAAGCGTGATTTAAAGAAAAACCACATTAAAAAGCAGCAGGAAAACCTTCGTTTATGATGTGAACACACAAATGAGAAAACTGCAAAAATAATTCCACCTTCTTCCCCCTTTCGCTGCAGAACAGACTGCTGGGACTGGGGCTCGTTTGAAAGTCTAGAGGTATCTGGACCTGATCTTCAGCGCAAACTGCTCTCCACTGAAGTTAAGAACCCCTCATAACTTTTCCCATGGGGGTACACATTACACCCCAAATACCTAAAGGCTAAACAACAACCTGACACTGAGGTTTATAATGTTCCAGATCAGCCTGTTTTAAGATCTGTGGTTTATCTCACAATACACTGGTTATATATACAAACTGGTTTTCTAGACCGAAGTGGGAAATTGCTGAAAGGAGCAGTACTCACATGTACTACTGGAATCTCAGCAATAAATCTCTCCAAGAGAAAGCAACAAAAGATCTTAAGCTGTTACATGGAACATGAAGTGACTGACAAAAGCGATTAAGCAAGTTTTGCTAGACATCAGCCAAAAAAACAAACAATACATGAAATGAGGGAAGTGGCTTAGTTAAACGGTCATTAAATTGCATATGACAAGTGGCACAGAAAAAGCCTGTAGACTGCATTATCCATTGAAAATGTTCCACTTAGCAACACTACATGAACTTAGAAACAATTGTTTTAAAAGAAACAATTCAGATAGCTCAAATTAACATTAAAAGCATGCTGCTGTTTTGAAAACTTTCTGGGTTTTGCTACTTACTAATACACCACTTACTGCTCCGGCATGAAGCTAAGTGAGAAGATGAAATGGATGTTGATGTAACAGACTAGTAAACTAATTTAAGGATTCACTGCAACCATTACACCATACAGACAATATTGCAACACAGAAGCTTTTACTTTACATTACTATTCTTTGCATGGGTCTCAAAAGGAACATGAATCCCAATTAAACTATCTGCAGACTGTAGAAGCCCAAAAAAAAATATAATGCAGATACCTCACTACCAAGAATATAAAACTTTAATCTCAGAGTTTAGAATAATTAGATAGTACCCCTTTTTAAACTGATTAAAGTACAGACATTTCTCTTTAAACTCCTAACGACTCCTTTCCATTCTCAGTACCACAAGAGTGCTTACTAGTCAGGCAGATAAGCAGTCCCCCCATCCTTTTTTGAAGTCACATATAAAATTCAGATTGATATATTGTTTCTATAAACGTTAGCAACTATAAACTGCTTTATAGTGATATAATTTAATTACTACACTGCTGTTGTGAGGTTCATATGCCTATTACTGCTGCTTACGATGTATAGAATAAAACCCTAAAGCCCACATTTGTGGGAAATTATGACTAATACACAGAAGAATACAAGTACAGTTTGGAGTTCTATATGAATTCTTAAGAGTTGAGAATCACAGTGCTTTCGCAAGCATCAGCTTCAGATCTCAGGTACCACTGGGTTTACCATCTGGTATCCTTCACCACATTCAGCTCTTAACATCACTGCTAACATAGGCAAGCGACTATACTTCAGAAGGACTGATAAAATAATGAAGAGTCCTTTAATCTAAGGAAACCATTGTAGTCATTTTATAAGAAATATTGCATCCCTTTGTAGAATGTGTAATTATTTTCTATTAATCATGTGCTATAAAGCTACATTATGTGGTTATTCTGTTATCACTAGAAAGAGGCCTGCAGTCAGCTCCTGACAATGTTAGGTAATTACTAACACAAAGCTTCTTTCTCTGTATGTAGAAATGCTATCAAGATCCAGAGGTGCTGTGATGCTCGCTGTATGAAAATAACTCTCCAAAGAAATTCAATAACTGCAAAATGAATTGCTCCAAGGCAAATAGAGGGATAGGAGGGGGGCAGGGCCAGATCCAGCAGCCCTGCAATGAGGAGAATGCACAAGTGTGCGGCCAGGGCTCTGCCATGTGACTGGGAGCACATTTGCCATACCAGGCAATGTTAGGCAGAGGCAGGGGGAGGAAGAGGCAACCGCAACCCCTGGAAGACAAGCACCAGGGCGAAGGAATATATTATGCTAAAGAACACAAAACAACCACCTTAACAATGACCAAGTGCCTTCTAAGCTACTTCCACTGTCTGTCAGAGTGGATTTATTTTTTTAACCCTAAGCAGAAATATATCAACCAAAGTGAAGTAATTTCACAGTGCAGCAGCAAGGAACAGGTTAACAACATTTAATGTGCTGGCAAAACACTCTGTACAGAGCACTGTGATACTGGGGAAAAAAATCCCACCGGGGTTTACAGGCTCCTTAAATGCTCTCAACTGAACACACTGTGAGCAGATGCTGCTTCTTCTCCCCATCCCACCAATTTCCCTGCAATGATGTGTATGTACATATGAGTTCATGAGACACTGATCGTAAAAGTTTTTGCACTTGGAGAAATCACAGTAGGTAGAAATACACTACCTGTTTTTCACAGATACCTTTTAAGTCCACAATTTTTGTACTATGTAGAAGAGAATTTTGATATTCAAGAAGATAAAATTTATATACTCAAGGGGATTTCCAATACAGTCCCTATGTTTAGAAGAGATCCTCTGCATAAATGAGGATCTCCAGATGCTTTGCACCATATTAACTTCTATTGACTTCAGCCAAAGTTGAGAACATCTGGTCCTTGTGCAATTCATCCCTATTGTTCAGTACATATGGTATAGTTTTTGTGTTTGTGGGGTAGGGTTTTTTATTTGTTTTGTTTTTTTAAAAAAGTTGTTGAAAATCATCATTATGTTTCAATGCCTTGAGGAAAACAATGCAGTTGTATTTAAAAAAAAAAAAAACACAACTGAAGTGTGTGAACTCAAGATTTTTCTCCTGTTCTCTTCCAGTGGCACTGTAAGTAATATAAACTCACTGGCTGAAGATCTGCAAACTTTAAAACTGAAAAGCAAATGTATCTGTAGGCCTGTCTGGGGTTAAAACAAGTAGACTCTCCTATCAAGCTACAGATGTGCGGGAAGCAGGGAGATTTTTTTATTTTTAGTAAGAATATCCTGGGGGATAATTTTGGCTATATGATATTTTAAAACATCTCCAATTCATCCAGGAGATTCAGACTAGCTAAAAGTTTTAGAACTTCCTTTGGTGTGATTGCCCAATGATACACTATCAACCAGGGAGCATTTTTGCCACAGAACAGCATTGCCTCTAAAAAGCAGAAAATGACAAATGTTTTAGATAACTGAACAAGACTTCTTCACAGGTAGTAGAGTTGTTTTAAGACAGCAATAAAATGGTCATCTTTAAGAATATAAGTCTTAGATTTATTGTATAGTTGTGTTATTAGGTTTTATTTCCTCCAATGACATGAGACAAAATAGACACCAATTAGAGTTCCAATATAAATCAGGGTAAGCAGACTGAATTCTGAAGAAAACTGGCCCCTGAAAACACCCTTTAATGATAGAAGGCCATTTTATTTTCCATTAGATGGCATAATGCCAATTCTTTTTAATCAGGTAGGTAAATGCTTACATATTACCAGCATGCAAACCAACAGAGCTAGAATCACTTTGCATTAGCCTAACTAAACTTCCATTTAAAGGCCTTTGCTCCTATGTTGTGTTTAAACATATATCTATTTTTTTCCCCTGTAAGTAATATACGTAAACAAGCCACAAGAAGGAAATGTACAACATAGTATTGCATTATAGTTTTTATCAAAGCATCCCACTTTGCCCACCTTGGCTCACTTTGCAGACCTGTAAGTCTCAGAGCACCCATGCTACATTTCATTCAGAAGCTAAAATGAAAGATGCACTTGAATATGTTCCAATCACTAGCATGGTCTCATTCACTAAACCATGCGAGACCTCTTCGGACATCAAACCCCTTTGAAAACACATAGTGTGGACATTAGGGCCTCAGCACTAGTTGCTTCACTCTGCAAATCTGCTCCTATTGGTACTCCCTATTTGCTAGCGTAGACATTGGCAGTATGGTCACGGAAATTACTGTTAAATGGAGATCTTGGTATGACCTAAAAATGGCCTGACAAAAAAAAAAAAAAAAAAAAAAAGGGAAAAAAAAAAAAGACACTTAAGATTTTAGTCACTTTCACATCATGTTGAAAAATACTGAATATGTTATGAAGGTTATACAGATAATGTACAAAATGCTCACACTGATTATGAAACAGCTGCACCATTAAGTTGTACTTTACTTCATAAGCAGTAATCTTAAGTATGGAGATGTTGTTTGTCTGCTCAACCTGTATTTTCGCTTAGTAAAATGTGAGCATTTTAACAGCTGTTTCTTGTATTGAAGGAACAAAAATCTGCCACACTGAAATGTACAACCACTGAATAAAGGTAATCTAGATGGAGTTAACACTCTACTTGCATGGAAAATTCTAGAGCAAAGGGTTAAGTCATAGATGAGATTTCCATGAATCATAAATACAAGAGTGAGCAGCATGATAGTGCACTGGCATGTGCTGAAATACTAACAGGGAAGGAGAATTCCATTTTAAGATGTAATTTCTGATTCTGAAGTATTATTTATTGCTTTAATGCAAATACAATATAAATGAGAAGGAAATTAAATTAGCTTCAAAGTTAAGAAATGTCAGTAATTTTACTAAGCATAAGAAAACGTACTAACATAAGTAAATTTTAAATTTACTTTAGTCATCTGCTAACCTAAGTTAATTTCTATTACTACTTGCATTCGACCGACAAAACTATGGAAGTTACCAACACAAAACACACACCTAAAGCAAACAAAAAAATACTGCAAGTGCTGCACACATAAATTGTGCATACAAACTTAAAGAAATAAAAATATGGCTACCTCCACTCACAGTTGTGTTTGTTTCTGGAGACTGATTTTTTGAGTAGAGCTATGGAAGACTTATAAAAGGATTGTTATATCACAGTTTGTTTCCCCGTTTATCTTATGGGGTTGAAAGCAAAGGCAAGCCCATAAATGAGCAGAAGTTAAGAGCAATCATCATTTTAGAAAACAGGAAGCCCAAGTATCACATTTCTAATAGTCAATATTAACTAAAAAGTCAATATTAACTATGAAATCTTATTAATGAGTCCCTCTATCAGTATGGCTATAAAATGTTTTCTACTGCATAGCAGGAGAGGGGTATAGAGTTTTCTGAATGTTCACATGATTCATAGCCTAAGTTATAAAAGCCACTTTTATATATTCAATAATATATATAGTACTCAAGAACATTATAAATTAAAATAATAATGAGTTTATCTGTACAGACACATTGACCAATTAATCTGAAAATTTAACTATTTGTATAAAGAAACAAAAGCTAACAATTACTATTTCAACAGTTCTGTTAATTCTGCCCAGGTTAAAAACTCAGCTTTTGAAAGAAACCCTCAAAGGTAGAAAAACCTAGAAGAAAGGTTTGGGGTTTCTTTTGTAAGAGCCCATAGGACTGCTGCCACACAAAAGCAACAACTGACATAAACATTTAGAAAACCAGCTAAAATGGTTTTTGAATGCACCTGTGAAACAAGGAAAAAATGCTTTTCTACAGTAATTACACTGGTCAGGCATCAGCATTTGTATTATCAGAGTACGAGCAGGTAAACCATGCTCACTGCACTAACGCTGAATTTTGATTCTCTTCAAAGCAAATTAGGGGTGATTTGTTTTTGCATAACGCTTAGCTATTTTAGGAAGTAAATGTTGCCAATCTGAAACCTTGCGTCCATTCTTCTAACATGAATTCACCTACAAACTTACATGTAACATATTGCTCCTCTTGCTTTATTTAAATTCTATCCATGCCCAAATTTGCTAAACTGGTTCCTAACTACTTCTGTTGTACTAATGATCTCATTTCTTGGAAACAAAAGTGTCACTTTTCCCCTCATAAAGATACATGAAAAGCAGGTAAAAATACATTGCTTTGGCACACCTATTGCTGGGAGAGATAAATATCTATCTTATCAGATTCGTCAGAGCAAGCTATATCATTTATATTTCATTGTAAAACAAAGAACTATTACGTGTTGCACAAATACACTCGGTATTTTGTTAATGCTTCACCCTTCCTACTATAATACTGCTATACCCATACTCACTTCCTTATCAGCAAAATGTGATTTTCAAGAGTAATGTTCATACCTGGCTGACATATGATAGAAAGGCAATAAACCCATAGCCGGGTTCAAACTGAAGCTGAATTTATGACACCATTTTGGAGCCATACACATCGCCTCCTGTCAGTACCTGCATCTCTCGTTTTCAACCACTAGATGGTGTGAAAAAATAAAAGAATTGCCAAGGCTTCGTGCCGACCGCCACAAAATCCGAGTATTAATGTAGTGGATTAGGAAATATTCGTTGAAGAAAAGTCTCGACCCACTTCAGGATGGTTAGGTTCACTTTTCCTTTGGTTATATTTTCACTTACCAGACAAAGAGCTCGTAAGTGATCAGACCTTGAAACTGAGTCAAGTGGAGGGTTAAGATGGATAATTCTCTGGCACTTTCCCCTCCAAGGACCCTAAATTCAGAGCTGACAGCAGTGGCCAACACTCATTTTTCTGAAAAAGCTGTAACAATCTTTAACTGAAATGGGGCTGAATTTTCTGGGCTGTATTTTGGAGTAGAATCATTCCCAAAGAGAGAGGCTCTATACATCTGGAGAAGCAGCAAGCCAGTTTCAAGGACCGATTATGGATTAATCATGGCATGACCACAGGACAGTTGATATACAGAGGACAGCTTAAACTACTGTTTTTCTATTCGGCTCCATTTTTTTAGATTAAATTTCTCGCTCTTTTGGAGAAGGAGCAAATGATTATTTCACCTACGAGCTGAAGATTGAGATTTTACAGTCCACACACCGTACCAGAAGAGCACAAAGAGGCCAAAATCATACAGTGGAATCTGTTTGTTCATGGGGTTTTTTGGGGGGAGAGTGAGAGGCGGAAAAGGTGGTTATTTTAAATTAGATGCTGTAGAGTGCTTGAAAGTCTGCCCAATCCAAGAGTGTTATCCGGCCTTTAGTAATGCAATGCAGTTATTAATTTAAGTGACAATGAAATACTTCAAAAGACACACGTGGTCACATTACCATTAGTAATAGATCTTCTACATTTTTATATAGGACCATCTTTCTATCCATAAATCTTAAATTTATGTAAAACTGAAGCTGTTACATTTATTATCCAGAAACATTGTAGTTAAAGGTACCAGTGAAGATTTAAAGCAACTGTGACAAAACTGAAAAGTTTGAAACTGAGACAGATGCCTTTAGTTTGCATGCACCTACTTGTATATTTCAATGACCTATGATATCTTTGGCATTAATTATACTGAACAGCAATTACATCTGAGATATATATTCTACATACAGTTTAAAAGGTAGGCTTTTTCCAATGAGAACTTGAAAAGAGAAATTTCCTTTGATGAACTGTTCAGAAGTAGACTTCAAGGGACCATAACATCTATATTTTAGGAAAGGTTTTGGTTTTGTTGGGGGCATTAAGGAAAAATAAGAAAATTAACCAACAGTAATGTAGAATAAAATTTCATGCTTATACTGCTTATCATCACTTTAGATGAGAGGAATTACATTTCTCATTTGCTTTGCAAACAGGAAAGCAGTAAATTAAAAACTGCCCAAATCTGTCAGAGCAAACAAATTTGGAATCTGAGCTGTCAGAACAATTACAATATCCATACAAAGATGAAAGCATAGTTCAAAAAAACAAACTATCTTCTGTAGCAAGATGCCCAAAAAGTCAGAATCAGGAGAGTCAGGAATATAAAACAGGAAACAAAAAACATAACATACAAGATAATTTGAAAATCTACAAGGTTAACTTTTACGAGCAGAAAGCACATTGTCTCCCATTAAATCAGTTAACAAATGGCAGCCAAGATTTAACACGTAAATAAACATGCTTTAAAGTCAATTCCTGTTACACAGCTATGTTTTAAATGTGATTATAGTTCATTTGACAAAGTAATTAATTGCAGTGAATATCTGATTGTAAACAAAGGATCTGAAAGGGAGTGCCAGTTTCCCCCCATAGAACTGTGGGAATGTGCCCTTCTGGCATGGCTTTCTTTTTACAACTACGTAGCCCCAGTAGCATCCCATACCTTGCTGAGAATGTAGATAATGTCACCACGTTTAAATGTCAACTCATCAGGTACATCTCCTGTGCAGTCCCACAAACCTTGATAGAAATTGGCATAATTGGTATTTTTGTTATCTGCAAAGAAAACGGCATCTTATCACAAAAGGATAAAGATTGAGGGACTAAAGTTACCTTTCAATCTCCAGATAGTATAAAGCAATTTATTAAAGCACACATGTTACCCCTCTTTTTAGAAACAGCTCCTTCATTCCACAAAAGGAAGTGGCAAACAAGTTTAATGTGCAAGCCCTTCACTTGCAAGTCCTATCACTTAAAGACATGCAGCTACAGGTTTTCAAAGCATTTTCCAGCTGCACCTTAAAGCAGCTAGTTTTCTTCTATTATAAATCTCCAGCAAGCCATACTTGTATCTTAGCGTGAAACTGATAAAATTGCTACAATATAATTAATAATCATCTGTGAAAGGAGCCAAAGTAAGTATTTTGTTATAAGCTCCCCCTCCCTCTCCTGTTCCAACAAAACTAAATAACTTCTCTGAGAACCTCTGAGATAATCCTTGATTGTTCCTTCTAAAATATTGGAGAACTTGGAAACTATTGCTGAAGCTGCATTTTAAAAATATTTGTGTCAGCTCCAGTTTAGGACATTAAGCTCTGGCTAAACATGCAACTACACTACAGTCATAAACTCATCCTTCTAACAGCATAAGCACAATGAATGTGCTGTGTTCAAGCTGCCATACAGACCATTAACTGATTGATTATTTAGCACTCTTTGCTCTGTAATACGGCAATAACACAGTAATAAATGCTTTGTCATACACTTACAATACAGAGTACATCTACTGAAACACAGCGCTTACACATGGTTAAATACACTGGGTGCTTCTGTTACACTGCAAACTATTTCCTGTTTTTAATTCCATGAGAATGGAGCGTGATGAGTTAATGTAAAAAGAATGTAAGCAATACCACTAAGATGACCAGTTACATTATGTATACACTAACCAGACAGAATGTATATGTACTAATAATTTACATCACTGGAAAGCTATCTTCTAATTCTGATAACATAAATATCACTGAACTGGCTGGATCAAGGCTGTCATCTTAGTTTTGTTATATGATCCTAGAACAGCAGGCTTGCTGGTTATTCCAGCATATACTAGTTACATTTGCATGTCATTAGCACTCTACACCATTATTTATAGTTTACAATTTAATCATGATTGGTTCACTTTATTACTGAAAAAATCCTGCTAAAATATCAAGTATCAAGCCATAGAAAATGACACACTATAAAAAAACCAGCAGCATTCAACTTGTGTTGTTCCCTATTTTGACAAATACGCAAGATTTTAATTTTAATACCCTCTGTATGAGCAAGAAGGAATCGTTTTCTATCTATCTATTTCAGTCCATGTTCTGTGCTATCTTCTTTTGATGGCAATACTGTCATACAGCTACATATTCACATATTGAATTTAAAGTTGCTATGCAAGTTAGCCACTATTTAATTTTCCATAAACTGGTGATTAATAGCTGCCACTTGCTATATAGCACTAGGGGGCGTTCTGGCTACCAGTGCACAAATTCTCACCACATCAAAAGCAGCAATGTATACACACATAAAAACTCTCAACCATTCAGAAAAGAGATATTTGGTTATTGTAAAATGCATAGGCGGGATTACTTCAAGAGAAGTGTGGAATCAGTTTGAAATGTTACATCTCCACATCTTGGGCCTTCCTATTTGTCAGCTCATTATTTATCAATTTAGTATTATAAAGAGTAATACAGGTTAATGCCAAATTCATTTGTGGTAAGTATTAAATAAAACCTCTCCTCAGTGTTTTGATACTGCGCTGATCCCAGCTCCCAGTTCCATAAAAGACAATATAAGGCTACATGAGAAAAAAAAAAAAAAAAAAAAAAAAAAAAAAAAGAAAAGAGCTATTCTGCACTGAAATGAATCATGACTTTCCTCTCCAACCTTTATCACTTTGAGGTCTGTTCGTACCTCTGTGTGCCTGAAGTAACTCTTGTTAACACTAATGGGAGTTGCATGAGGAACATCAGCAACAGAAGAGATCCCACAGCGGGTGAGACACATCTCTCCCTAGATGTTCGTGATGAGCATTTAATTAAGCCTTAAAGTGAGAAAGCAACTCAACTAATAACACGGCACCACTGGAAAAGCTGCATTTTTAAAAAAAACTTATTGCAACAATGAAGATACTGCCTGAACCATGGTTCTGTGCCCTCATTTGTGAATTCAACGTAAGACAGAGTTGTTGAAATCTGAAAGCCACATTTCTAGGAAAAACATATACCGGTATACCAGAAGCACAGAAATGAAAAACAGGGAGAGAAGGAATCAGTGTAAGTTTGTGAACAACTATGCTGGTCTTCCAACAAGTTTTAATTTCATATTTGAAATCCCATCTCGTACCCACCAGCACAAGTTTCTCAAAATTCTTTCATGTAAATTTAACTCCAGAATCTAAAGGGCAAAATACTTCATAAAATGATTCATAGCACTTCATAAACACAGAAATAGAAGAAAAAAAAAAACAAACCAAACCAAAAAAATTACTTCTTACTTCAGCCCCTTTTTCAGTTGGGGAGGACCCTGCCAAATTTCATTTGACTGCCTCCGAAGAACTGAAGAAAACAGAACCAGGAGACCTGGGTAAAGGAATTTGGCATTTATACAGTAATGAAATTATGTGGACCTTCTTAAACACATGCAATACCTGAAAACAGCTGGTGGATTTAGCATCTAGAACTTATATGCCCATTAGGGTTCAGATTCAAAAGGTGTTGATTTGCTGGCATTACTCTGACACAATTACACTCTGTTTTTACATACTCTGAAATGTTGTGTGCCTTAAACGTACTATGATGATGTAATTACTAAACTGAAGTCTTTTGCAAAGACTACTTGTAAAGTAGTATTTTGAAGGCATGATCACTTAGGCCACAAATACAAGTAAGACAAGACCAAAGAAAATTTAAATGTGTAGCAGGGAATAGAAAGCAATTTGGGTTTACCTACCCACTTTTTAATATTACCAATCACAAGAAATGGCTGAGCAGGATTCTGGATAGGTTGTTTCTCCAGGAAGTACTTTTTTCATTCCAGGACAGATATCTGGATGAACAACTACCCAACAGTTTCCAAAACTGTTCCATAAAGAATTCCTCATGGTTTTCTTCTGTCATCTCTGTTTTTCCAGTAACAGTAATAGGAACAACAGATATTTTTCTGCAATATACTGATGAAAACACTTCAGAGTTTATTTGACATATCAAACAGCAATGGCTGCCAGCCTTCTTGACAGTAGGCTCAGTCTGCATATTTCACTGAAAAAATACTGGCACCCGACAATAAACGCTTGAAGAAAGAAAGGTGACAAGTATCATCAAGCATGCTCTTCAAGTCTTGTAGACTGTTTAATAAAAACTTAAGAATGCCCACGGATTACTCAAGGGAAAACAAAATTATAATGTTCTAAAAGCCTCAATAGACAGAAAAAACAAACCCTGGGAAAAATAACAGATTAGGAGTACTTATTTCAGAGGGATTTAAGTGTGCTGTCCCACTGCAGCCTAAGCCAATCTATCTGCAGGCTTTTCCATTCCTGACCTTTTGACAAATTTGGCACATGCCATTTCTGAGCACAAACCTGTCAGAACACTAAACTGACCAAAATAAAACCAGGAATTATAGCCCAAGTATGGAAACGCACCACTTAAAACATTAGAATAAATGTGACTGTGCCTGATTTCCACTCACCTTCCATTTTAACATTGAGGGCATCTAAATTAGCAAGCCCTACTACAGCAGTGACTTAGAGCTAGAGTTATATTATCTGCTTACGCATTGCTTATGGAATGAAAAAACACGTATACATGTTTTCTTTTCACCACTGTGGTCTGCTTCCCAGTATATTAAACAGCTTGCCATTCCGATTCATATTCCTTGACTTTTGAGCAGATTCTTCAAAAGTTTGTAGCGTCAGATTTAAAGATTATGAATCTGGACAAAGTAACAATATCTGAAAGAGGTGAACTGTATCCTCTTTTAGTGATTATATGCTCAATATTTACCATACTGGAGGCTTAAAAGATGGAGAGACAGGTGAAGTTCAGAATTAATACTACCAGAATGACTGTGCCTTAACACAAATGATTCAGATTCTCAGTGTTAAGTCTCAATGCCCAAATGAGACACGCCCTATTAAAGAACGTAGTTACTTGTTTGTCCTGATGATGTCCTAAATAGCTAAGAATGCCTGTTACTTACTTGCCCTTTCTCCCACATTCCAGAAAAATTATGAAATAAGGGGAAAAAAAATGTAGTGTATTTATGCAGACATAACCTCTAATCTAGCCTTATTTGTTCAGTATAATCTTTCTCACTTCCCCTCTCTTACTGTTCCTTAGTTACTCTAAAATCAAAGTATTTACACTGAAACAGCATAGAACAGGACACTTACCGAAACAGCGATTATGGAAATGATAATGGGTAGATAGTGGTAGCAAAAAAGGCCGAGCAAGCCCTATTATACAAGTGAAACTCTTCAATGCTTTGGTATATTTAAACAGTTCAGTCACTAGCAATTAATGTAAAGCTATCCAGCAGCAACAGTCAGCATCAAGACTTCAGCATCAAGTCTGCACATTAATTGAAGTACAGATTAAGTCAGGGCTAGAAAAGAGTAGGAAAAAAGATTTTTTTGCACTTAACAGGCTGAGCTCAAAAACAATTTGCAGAATATTTTCAGGTTTAATAAAGCTAGGCAATAAATTAAACTTAAGAATGTATGCATGGCTTATGTGGAAAATCATGAAATATTATTGATTCAAGTTAGGTATTTATTACGTGATGCATATCAGAAATATTCATGTCAACTCAGCCCTAAAAGTTAAACAAATTTCTAGTGTTAAATAGTTAACTAAGTAAGATTAGATCAGAAAATTACTTCTTGAAATTAATTTGGTATCTCGAGAGAACTGGTATTTTCAAACACATTACACAAGTACTAGAAAGACTGATAAGGCTGTTCTCGTAGCAGTTGAAACTTTTCAGAAATGAAGGTGCTAAGTTTTTGATTTCTAAAAGTTTTGATTTCCTAAAAGTAAGAACTCCAAGAAGATACATTAGTGCAAAAAATGCTGTTGGCAACTTTATAATTGGATTGACCCCACACTCCAATATGACATCACACTCATAATTACAGTAATGTCTAAATAAGTACTAACTATTAAGGCTGTAATGAGTCATGTTGTTTTACACACGTTTTTAGTAGAGCACAATGCTAACAGCATCTGATGACTTGGTTCTTGTTTCCTTTCCAAGAAAAGCAACCCAAAACTCCTCACAGCAACCTGTTCCTGCTTTCCTGTATGGCTCAGGAAACCAGGCCTCTGTTTCCTCTCCACATGCTGCAACAGGAAGAGCACTGCAGAGCTACTTCCTAAAGGAACTCTTCTTACCCACCCTTTCCTTGACAGCCCTGAAAGAATTATGTGTATTATGTATGATGGGGGAAGGAGAGCCAGTTCGCATGTCAACGCAGGTCACAGTTACAATGCAGCAGATCTCAAAAAGGTGTAAGGTCTGATAAGAAGCAAGTCTTCTCTACTTGCTGTGTCAAATCACCAACAGTTTATCTAGAGGTCTGTGCCCTTGAAGCACAAATATATCTTGTTTTTAAGCATAACTGGAAATACCTTTCTGTCAAGAAAAGTTGTCTGGCCATGTGACTTTACATGGTGTATTATTTTTCCAGTCCCAGAGATAATTAGCACAAGGGCAGTTTGCCAAGCTAAAGCTGAGAGAAGAGCCTTTCTGGGCATTTGTGTCCTTTTCCAATTTTTATGCTGCTGTCACTGGACTCTGGCATTTCTTACCCAATTCATTTGCTTTCTGTGGTAATCATATGCACTGAAGATATGCATGGCCAACATTTAAACAGGCTGCAGATCAATTAGTGGTCTTAAGTTTATCTGATTTTTATCAAAGAAGACAGAGCTTTGGGTCGATTGTCAGAGCCTGTGTCAAGTTGACCTTTTCAGAGACGTCTACATTGCCAGTCCCTTGGGCAACTTGTTGTCCCCTGTTAGTCTCTGAATGGCAGAAGTCTGTTCTGCTCAAGCACAAAGTATACACAGATGTCTATATTACATTCTTATAGGTTTGACAGCAACTGCATGTTGTATCTATAAACTGTCCTTTAGCAGTGACACTTCCTCAATGATGATAAGCTAATTTATGCAACTAAATCTCCTTTGTGCAGAAATGAAAGCTAATTGAGTCATTACAAAGTAATTCAGGAAGGAATACCTTGTATAAATTGGCTTACTTTATAAATCCTTCTCAAGTGGTTTTCATGCATCCTAAGTGGTGCTAAGCAGTTTTGCTGCCATCAAACACCCACATGAAAAAGACAGCCTTACAGAGCTATAAAAACATTATTTTAAAACAGCAAAGGGAAGAGACAAGAAAATAAAGATAAAAAGAAAGTGCATTACACAAAATAAAGAGGAAAGATTTTCATTACCTGAAACAGTGGTAACTTTCTCCTGGCTCAGTTTTCTTGGCACTTCAGCCTTCGAAGGAATATGTTCTTCTGCAAAACACATAACTGCAAATGAAACTCCGAAGGGACACCTCAGCTGACAGGAATTACAGCCTGCATCACCCTGAAAGCCGTACTCCACATTTCCAGACTGTAAGCCCTGTTTACTATTTTGCATTTGCACAGAAGTTGGAACATTGTTATTCCTGTGGTTTCCCCCACCCAGCCAAACACTCCAAGAGCTTTCTTTCAAAATCTCAATTGTGAACATCTGTTTCCCTTTTCACTCTGCTCTGAATATGGTAAATATAGAGCTACAGATCTGCTGGTTTTTGTTCATTCTGAGGCAATTAAAATTAGGGTCCTATTCTGCTACGTGTATTTCTTACCAGGATATGAGGATTGAAAGGTATCCCCAGACCATGCAAGAATACAGAAGTTCTTAAAAGAAGTATGCAGAGAAGACAAAGGACATCTTACCTTCAACACTGTCATACAGACACACTAGCTGGACACCTGCATGATAGGAACACAGCCACTATAGATGCTGTGCATTCAGTGCTCCTGCCTACTGCACTTGACCATGGTTTTAAGTAAGCCAGACTGATTCAAATAATTTAGAGCAAATTTAGGAAAGAAGAAAAGCAAGAGTATGGCAGATATCAGCTCTGAAGCATGTTTTCTGGCTGGCAGACTTGGAAAACTGAAATCCCCAGAGGCAATTTCAAAAGATGTGCTCCATACTCCTTGTCCGGCACAGGCAGGGAACTACTCTCTCATGCCCACACCATCACTTAAGTAAATCCATATTCCACTCAGCACAGGGACATAAAACCTGCTCCTTACATTTCACAGTCAACAATTTTGTTGATGAGGAAAAAAAGGGGAACAAAGTATGAGAGTTTTTAGCTGTTTTCTTTCCTTAGGTTCAGAAGGAAGTAGAAACAGATTTATCTTGCCCTTTACAGTATATCATAACTGACAAAGCTGCTGTACTGAATGAAGAAATAGTATATTCATAAATCCACTTCTCAAATAAGAATTAGGCTTTTAATATGTTTAAAGTATTTGGCTTTTATACTCATCACATCTTGCACAGATATTCATGCTTCTTTATAAGACATGCATGTCAGCAACTAATTTTGACATTTTATTAACGACAGACAAAAGATACAGAACTCACAGCTTTTAAAATGTTCCTTATTGTGCAACTTGTATGTAATTGCCTATCTACTTTGACAAAGAGTGAATTTTATATCAACAGTTCAAAGGATTTTTAGCCTCATAAAAAGATAATCTATCCACAAGACTGTTCCTGCAAACACTAAAGCAGATGTTTAAAGCACAAGAGCAGACCTGTTGAAATGAGTATGCATTATTGCTGCTAAACTATGTATGCAGTCCTACAAATTACATCATGACATTCACTCTACGGAGCTTTGAAATTCTGCCCTACTAAGCCAGCAGGAGTTTTTGCTTTCTGACTCTTGAATAACTAAAAATCTGATTGCGATGAATATACATGATAGCCAAGGAAAGAATAATAATTAAGAAAAAAAAGAAAAAGAAAAAGAAAAAAAGGAAAAAACAAACAAAAAAAATAGAACTGGGAAAATGTGAAGCTGCAGTACAACATGAAACACTAAACTATTTACTGCACTCAAATGTATTCCCCCACGTGGCATAATACTTGTTGCACATTTCCAAGTACACTCATTTGTTTATTTTAAGCACTCACAGTTGGAGTAAAAATGGCAAAAATACATCCGTATGTACTGTCCAGAGCACTAGGAGGCACTGTCATTCTGTGTCTTCCCTACCACTATTACACCACTCACAGGTAGTATTCATCCATTATCAGTCACGTTTTCTAGATTGCTCCCTTTTCCCAGAAAAACCCACTTTCATTTAACACAGAGTACATTGATTACATAAATCTTGATGTTACATGTTACTGAATGTTTCGAAATACGTCAACTGATGTGTTGAATGTACTGTGGATTTTAACTCATGGTCATCAGACTAGCTTCAACTGAGGACTAACTTTAGCAGCTGGTATTTCAACTGAAGTAAAACAGCAGAGGAGGTTTGAAGAGATTTTTTTCATAAGGTACAGCTGAATACATGTAGACTGCATTGTGGTTTCATGGAAAAATTTAGAATATATTCATTCCCCTTCCTGAAAAATGTATTTCCTAGAAACAAAAGGTCACCAGATCCATATCTGAAAATATATGAAAATGGAAAAATATATCTGAACCAAGGAAACACATGGAAATACTGGAAAGGTCCCAAATTCAAACAAAGGCTGTCCATATGAGCATACCTGTTCGGATCCCAGTCATCCCCACTTACTCCACTTTGATTTACACTATAGAGTTGTCACAGCGAGGACAAACTTTCAGGTGTAATTACACCGGAAGATGCACTCTGGAAGCACACTGAACATGATCCAGCTGCTAACTGGCATTCAGTCCATGGAACCAGACTAAAGTGAATCCATAGGAAACCTCTTCTGAAACATGCACAGCACAAACATCAGGTCTTCAGCATAAACCTGTGCTTTATGAATCTGTTGCAAATGGTCTACGCCATTTGCCAATGCAATCATGCTCACAGTGAAGCAGATGTAATAGGCTTGGCTTAGGGTGGTAAAAAAGAAGCTATGGTTCTCACTAATGTTTTCTGCTATTATATCCTGAATCAATAACAAATTAATACTAATCAAATCAGTGAACTTCTCTAGAACTGTAGAACCAAAGAACACTTAAGATAGAGGTTATGTTCCTTAATTTGCTGGTATTCAAAGATACTAATGGCAAACCTACAAAATTCTTATGGTGACAGTCCAACAAAGAGCTAACTATATTTGTCAAGGGTTTTTTCAGTCAGTCCATGAAAGCTGTTGAAAATTATTTACTTAATTTGTAGTTACCCAATCACAGATGATTCTACCATCCACACAATTTAAGTGAACAGTGACTTAGACATCAGCTGAGGGTTTTTTTACATAAATCCATTGATTTTTTTTATTCTAATTTCTTTTTCTTAAAAGAAGAGGGGATTAAAAAAAAAAATCAGGCTACTTGAGTATAAAATGGGTAAAAGTTTGGCATGAACAGCGCATTCCTTCAATGGAATGTGGTATCTCCATGATAAATATGCATAAACTTAGCAGTTTCCTCTACTAACACACTACTTAACCATCTTTTTACATTAGACTTTAATTTAATGCCATTATTAATTGGTATTTTACTGTCCTCTAATATCTGACACATTGTCATTGTACAATACTAGTTTATACCTTGAATAATCCCAGTCTGTGGGTTAATATATTCAACACTTTAATAACAGTAAACAAAAACAGTTCAGCTATGCAGCAAAATCCACCAAACCACACAGATGGTTATAAGGTTTTCATTGTGTGGTTTCCATAGCAATCATATTGCAAATCTGGAAGCTTCTTGCAAATAAGCAGCTTGTATTTACATGCCTCTCGGCTGCAGCATGGGACTCTACAACATGTGAAGTTGTTATTCCAATCACATATTGTTAGAAAAATCATTGGGAGATGTTTTGATCAGTTCAGATAAAAACTACTGCAGTGAACTAATTTTTCATCTATTTCATAAGATACAAGCAATCACACGCTTGTAATGCACACTAATATATCTTCACTTGAAATCTCACTGTGGTGTCAGAAGGTTATAAGCATACAAACAGGTTTTGTAAGACAGATTCCCACAAAAACAATTGCATTATTATTTAATCAAATAAAAAATACAGTGTCTTTATTATTGTACTCTGCAGGGATGACAGACGCATGCGAATAAAAAGGTATAAGGAGGAACTCTGATGAGACTGAACATCATGGGTCTATACTGTTTTGTGCAAGAAAAAGTAGAAGATACAATGGCATGGTAATACCAAGAGTATTACTTCTCCACATTGCTTTCTTGCTACCAAATAATGACTCTGCACAAATGTAAACAAGAACTTTCAAACATGAATAAATGCTCACTGTGGGAAAGAATCAAGACCTTTTTTCTACCAGATTTATAATTTTATGAATTGACTTAACCTCATAACAGATGAGCTATTACTCTAATAAGGAACATAAATCAATCCTGCTATGTAATTTATTTTTTTTTAATTAGTGAGAACTTGCTGGTTTACAAACAATAGAGAAACATTTCAGAATTCCAAAGAAGGAGCAATAAAGAACAAAATCATTCTTATAATTTGGCCAAACTGACACCTTTTTCTAGCATTAGTAGTGAGGGCCATCAACCACGTGGGGTCAAAGGAATAAGAATTAACAACCCTGCTTTATGCATGACTAGCAACCTGCCTTACCTGAGGACAGTGCTCCCCAGCCGTGGGAAGGGAAGCAGTCCTCTGCAGTATTATCACTATTTACACACACACCTGTACATGACTATACGCTTCACCCAAACTCTTATGAGGTTTTAGCCTAAGCAGCTTGGTAGCCCAGAAATCCTTCACATATTGCTTCATCCTAGGCTTATTTGCCTTGGTGTATGTATTTATAATGGCAGCAGTTTTCTTTTCTGGTGTCTTCTTTTAGACTCCAGATCCACCCATTCTGTAGGGAA